GGAAGTGCGCAACTTCAATAAGATATGTCCATAGGGACAGAGGCGTTAGCTGGGTGGGGTTCTGGGGGCATGCGAAGAGGTGCCGAGAGTCATGTAGCAACTCTCCGCATGCCGTGCATTGGTTGGGCACATCCTCGTTTATTCTGCTCATGTATGAGTTAAGCCTGCTGCAATAGCCAGAGCGATGCTGGGCTATTGTGGTGCGGGTCTCCCGAGACAGACAAAGTTCTGTCATGTCCACGCCATGTGGTTGTGTGCCCAGAACGGCATTCACAGGTCGAGAGTATACATAACTTGAGACTGACTTCCTGTGAATGTCATTCAGGGCCTGTCCGGGTCTACTCTATCTATTTTGTTCAGTTTACACTGCCGGAGCAGAAGCAATGCGACAACCGGTGAAAATTGCATATGTATATCATCTGCACCGATAGTCTTTCCGCAATTAACATGTTCCCCAATGTGAAGAACAAGAACGCCTTTGCTTTGTCAATACGCTCCTTGTTAATAGAACGAAAGGAAATTATCGAAGTTATGTGGGTTGGTGTTGTTGTTGCAGCGGCTACAACAACCCCGCCCAGATCGGTTAGTCCCTGGTGGTGGTGTTGCGGCGACATCAAGAGGCATATTGTCGCCGTTCTGACAAGTCCGCAGCTTCATCCACTGCGTCCTACTAGTCCCCGGTGACCACACGGGCGCAGCGTATTTCAGAACCGGCCGGCCAATTCTCTTGTACGTTGCCAGCAACGTTTCTTGTCCTTGCCCCAGGTGCTGCCGGCTAGCGACTTGAGGACCTTGTTGCGGCTTTGTACTTTGTTGACAATTGCGGTTGCGTGCACATAGAAGGAGAGAAGACTGTCGAATGTTACTCCGAGTATCTTCGGGTTGTTCACCGTTGGAATTGGTGTATCATCGACGTGAATTCCCAGTTGGAGTCTGACCTCCTTCGTCCAGGTGGTAAAAAGTGTGGCTGAGGATTTTGTAGGGGAGAGGGTTAGGTCCCGTGCAGTGAAGAAGCGAGAAAGCTCGGCGAGATAACCGTTTACATTCGAGAACAAGTCATCAATTTCATTCCCGGACGCCATGATCGAGCAATCGTCAGCATAAGAGCCAATCGAGACTCCCTCTGGTGGTTGAGGGAAATGTTTGATATGTAAAGTTAAACAATAATGGGGAAGGGACACCACCCTGTTTTATTTTCCTCGGTTTGCTCGATTCGTCTCTAAAAGTTACTGACGAGTGAGGACCACTCAGAAAATTCCCCGACCACCGTTTGAGTCCCTGTCTTCTACTAGCGTTGAATGTTTGTCAGTGTCGAACGCCTTAGACTGGTCCAGCGCTACTAAAATGGTTCTCCCACAGGGGCGCTTTCGGTTTAGGCCACGAGTTATCTGGGTATTTATGGCGTTAAGTGCTGTGCACTTTACGGAACCCATGCTGATGCTTCGCTGGGGTCAGGTGGTTTGTAAAATACGGAAGTAGCAAGGCCTATAGTGCCTTCGCTACCGGGAAAAGGAGGGTTA